AAAGCGATTTCTAGCTAGCTAGCTCGTGAAGCTAGTTTCTTAGTTTCCTCCTTCGTTTTATTCACTGCCTCAGTTTTGGGTCGAACAGGCTGGCTTGCTGTAATAACTTACTGAATGCGTTTCATTTCCTATGGATGTTGCATGCTTCTTCGGGATTTTGCTATACGCACGTGAGCCCATTCCGTTTTTTCGTTTGTATTGTGATACTTAATTTTTTTTGCAGTGCTAACTTCTAATCTTTCATACAGGTTTGTCATGTCAGAAAGGAGACGCAAATATCGTGAACGATCCAGGTCTCCCTTCGATGATGCTACCTTTACAAACTTTCAAAATGTATCGCGGGAAAATAATTCTGACCACCACCATTCAGATAGCCGACGTGATAGGCGCTCCTCCCCGTTTGATGGCGAATTTAGAAGGCCATACACGAATAATGAACATATAGATATGGACAAGCCGTATAAGCCCCGTTACAAGCCTTTTGAAGTTGGTCACCAGACCCCCGAATTCTGGGAACACAGGCGCCAGAATAGAGAAAAGGCAGGAGCCCTCTTCAACGAAAAACTCTGGGCAAGTCCTCCATCAAGACCCTTCTCCGAGGACGAAGAGGATAAAGAGGCGGCTGATGGCGAGGGTCCAGACCCGGCTCCTAATCATTCCATATCCAATAATCACTCAGATTCACACAAATCCAAAAAATCGAAGTCTCATAAAAAGTCAGGAGAAACTAAGAAACATTCCCACCATCATCATCACCACCATCATCACAAAAAACACAAAAAATCGAAAAAACACCACCCGAAACCATCATCTTCATCCTCCAGCGAGTCGTCTTCCAACGAGGAAGATGAGCAAAAACTCTTTATTCGTCAGATGAAAGCCAAGAAGTTGGAGTTAGAGCGGCTTCGTGCAGAAGAGGAGGAGGCGACAGCGCTGATAGGGCCGGTCCTGCCTGGTGGCGAGTCCTCTACCGCAGCTCCCCTTGACTATGGTAAAGCTCTGTTGCCTGGAGAAGGTGCGGCAATGGCCGCATACATTGCTGAGGGCAAGAGAATACCCAGGAGAGGTGAAATTGGATTGACCCCGGAAGAAATTGAAAAGTTCGAGCAAGCAGGCTATGTCATGTCCGGTAGCCGTCATCGTCGAATGGAAGCTGTACGTCTAAGAAAGGAGAACCAGATCTACTCTGCAGACGAGAAGCGAGCTTTAGAGAACTTCAATCACGCGGAACGTGCTAAGCGTGAAGCGAAGTTACAGGCTCTCTTCAAAGCTCTTATTAAGAAGAAATTGGAGGACAAGCATTCTTCCTCTTCCGCCAATCTCTAATGCATTCTCAGCAGACAGATTGACGTACGACTTGGCTATAATATTGTATGTATATAATGCTGACTTTACTTATATGTACATAAATTTGTGTAGTTTTTGAAGTTTTGAATCATCTCTATATTTCATAAAATGTCTGGACCGCGGACTACATAGAATATTAATCCAAAAAGAGGACTAGTATTCTCAGCTTGCCATTTTCGAAAGCCTTATTGTTGTCTCCCCAGGCTACTGCAACACTCGGCACAATGCTGGACATCAGTTTAATTTTCACGAGGAAGCGCGTACGGCTAAGGTAAGGTGGGATTCACAAGAGTCTATAGCAATTCAAGTCAAGAGTTTCGAATTTCTTAGATCAGCCTCATCGCAGAACTGAATAAGACTGTATAAGGAGACGTCTTTTTCTTAGAAGTAGCTAGCAACCTAGGATACGGCGTAATGCCATGTTTCTACCAATTGTAGGGTACCTTTGCGATGTTATCTTCGTGTACAGATTAAAAGGTGCGCGACACTCCGTACTAGTCTCATCAGTCTTTCCCACCAGTTTTCCACAGACAAGATATGGCGTCTGTTGATCTAATTTATTTCCATTTTTCTTCTCGTTGGTCTGCTCAAAGACTTTAAAAATTGCTATACCGATTTGCTCGCATTAAGTCTCCCTTGAACAAGGTGTATGCCACCTACTAACCACACCGTTAACATTGCGGTAATTTGGGAGCTTTTGACAACGGAAAAAACATCACGGATTCCCAGGACAAAGATTTTGTTCATCCGAATTCTAGCCCATCAACAGCTAGTATAGGATATCGGAAAATGAGCTCGAAAGGGAAACACGAGTCCTGTCTAGTGGACTAGTGGCGGTCGTCGAAGTAGAGAAAAGAGAGAACAAGTTTTTTGTCTATCGTTGATAGTTTGTCATTCGTGGACGCCTGTGATAAGATGGTGAACATCGCAATAGGATGTATGCAAGGAGAATACGTGCAAGCGAGAACATTGTAGTCACGTGGGAACGGGAATCAGAAGTGGAGTGCGAGCAGGACTATTGACCGTTGTACTCCGCTTAGGCGAGTTGGCTAGGCCAATACGGTGTCAGTCACCTTTTAGCATACGGCGCCAAGCCATACTGGTGTTGCACTTGTAGAGGTGTTTCTCATCCCTCAGAAGAATGTGAATAAGCATAAAAGGCTAGTTTGAACCCTAGTGGCACGCTAGATAAACACCTGGTAGTATGTCGCCTCACCGTGTCAGCAATTCTCGAGGTCTTTCGCTTCCCGGTAGCAATTTTTTAAGGTTACTGAGTTTCAATACTAAACGTAAAAAGACTTTAGAGCACCATGTGTGATATCGCCCTCCTAGTTTCAAGTTTTCTTGATATACAGTCTGTGGTGTCACGCGTTAACGAGGTCGCTAAATCGGTTGTCTTGTCCGTAAACGCTGGGAAAACCGAGGTGTTGTCATCCCCGCCCAAGAGAACGCACCTCTCAAGATTAGTGGCTGTAAATTTAGAGAAGTACACAATTTCAACTACCTCGGAGCGAGGTTGCTGTCGAATGGACAAAGTAAGGGTGTTACTGTCTCCCGAATCGACGCAATTCGTCGAGTTTTCCTAGGCCTTGGAAAGTGTCTATGGAACCGACAGGTTATCTCGATTGCCACGAAGTTTCGCGTGTACGGTGCATCCGTTCGGTATGTCCTTTACGGTTGTGAATGCTTGGCTGTGCCTATGGAAGATGAAAAACCTGACGGTATTTGACCACTTTTGCTTTAGGACCATTCTTCCAGTGAAGTACATCAACTTCGTCTCAAATGAGACAGTCCGCACTCGCAGCGAAAACAGCATAAGGATATCTCAGACCACTCAATAAATACGACTGAGGTGTTTTGGACACGTTCGTCAACCTCAAGTGTTCAGCTTTACTGTCCCCGACCGAAAACCGTTGCCCAACTGGAGACGTCGAAGAGGGAGTCAACTCGAAAATTGGCTCGACTCTATCCGTCAGGACATAGAGGTAGTTATTGGACCCTCGGTATTCGGCAGAGAATTAACTGAACTCTCCGGGTCTGCTGCCACGGATCGTCAAATGTGGAGACGTACCACCCGGGACATAATCGAGGCCGGCTAAACCAGGCTTGATCGCATCCGTAACAAGTACAAGAAAGTGCTATACCTGTGTTTTAACGGCAAACGTTGGTGGCGCCTGTGGGCCGAAGCGATGGACGCCTCACAACTACTTTGTAGGGCTTTGCGTAATTGCTGACGAGTTATCCGTCAGTCTACTCGACCTCTTAGGAAATAAATAGCCTTTGCGGAGAGAAAAAACGGTAGAAAAGTTATCTTTTTCGATAAGTCCAGGTCTCTAGGTGTACCGGTCCCAAAAGCATATATCAGGGGTCCGTTCCTATCTGATCATGGTGAGGCCGCGGATTCTGAGTCGGGATGACTAATCTTGTGTCACCTTAGATGGTTGAATTTTTACGTTTTGAGGCCACAAACACGTAAATGATTCTAATTATTTCGAATAACAGAGCCAAGCCGTGAATGCACTGATATCATCTAAGCGGCTGATAAAAAAGAGACATTCGGGCGTGATGAATAAAACCACGTATGACAGATTAGAGACGAGTGTCCCACGACTGCTATTAGTCCCTAAGACTGTATTGCACTTAAGGTTGGGGTTCGTCTTGAGATTGCTCATGTATATCAAGGATCATACATCCCTATTTTGTCGCCTGTGATGGAGTCCGCTCTACACAAGTCTCCTCGTTCATGACCAAGACGTCGGGTTGGGTCGTTTTTGGGTGGCAAAATACTCTTGAATCCCGGCACTTGTGCATTGGGTGCAAGGGACAGAGAGGTTCCCTTCAGTCGTCGTCAAATGACCAAAAGTTATTCACGACTCCTATAGCTCGGAAGAATTTCAAATAGGGAATTATAGGCTGGGCAGCGCACACACATTCTTTGGTTCCAGCTTTTCTTAAGGCTTGTCAGATCTCTCGTCAGCGCCTGTACGGTGAGGCTCACAAGCGTCTACAGGACGGAGGAACCAGTTTTCTTTATGGCTTCACTCCCATTAATTGCGATTGTAACGATGGCACATACTGGCCCCTGCTCAGCGGTCTTGAACCGGCATTTCAAGTGCGCCATAGGCTTGCCAAAACGGAAACGAAATGACGAGGCCTGGGGCCTTCATTCAACGCCGAAATATGCTTCAGGTGCGTTCCCACACCAGCACACATAACAATGACAAAAGGACACTACAAGCAACGAGGTAAACGCGGTTTTCTGCCATGGAGGCAGAAACGCTGACGACGTACAAAATTTCGGGTATCTTAGGTTCAACCTTAACACAAGAACTGCAACTGGACACCGTTTTCAGCTACATCTAGGGTGCTATTTGCCGTCATAACTAGATCTTCGACAGATAAGTTGTGGCAATGCCGCCTGCGGGACTAGCAGGACTGGTCACTGTAAACCGTCACCGAAATCACAAGCTCAGAGAGGCATTAGCGAAGGACTGAATACTGATCACCTGACGGGTCATTAAACACAAAATAGAATTGTTGCTGTAGGTTTGAGAGGCCTCGATAACACAAATGCTGCACCCAGCTCGACGATAGCCCTCAAAACGACTGAACAGAGCAAGTTGGGAGAGATGTCTAGTTGCCACCGCTTTTTGAGTTCGCTGACCTGGATTGCGCCGATAAATTCACGGTCTTGGAGGGGGAGTCTCAGCATAAATAGGTTGCTGAGTCAACTTTACGGCCAGCAAGCAGGCTATACCTACCCACTTGGGGGGTTTAAGAGGTCGGAGACCCGATGCAGCTCAAGGCTTTTTTCAGGATTGACAGAGAAAGAGGGCGTTTGCCGCTAAGGCGAATTGGTTCCCGTAAGCCTGCATCAGGACTCGCTGGAACGTCGTGAGGTCAGCATCAACGCTTAACTTCAAATCTGCGGTGTACTGTACTTTTACACAGCTTAGGGCAGCTCAGAGCATAACATGCATTTTTGGTCACTGTTCAAGCCTCTTTACTTTTACCAATGCGGACGGCGTGTTAAAAGTCCGCTGCGATGACCCGGAGAATAAGTACCCG